ACACCCCCCTCCCCCCTTCCCCACCCTCGCCCCTCCAACCTCTCAGCACTGGCCTCGGTGACTCATCTCAGAGCGAGTGTGTTACTGTATATGCTGGCACGTCTGTAGCGTCGTCTCCTCTCTGGTGCAGCTGCAGTAGCGGCCGCACAGCGTGATGTTCTCGTCTCTCCCGTCTACTGAATTAAAGAAATCTGTTAAAGTCACTAACGTTGTCTGCCTTTTGAGTTTTGCAACATCCCTGCCGAGCCTCGGACAAAGAGAGCTAGCGGACTGAGCAGCTTGGCACAATCAGGAAGTTTAGCTAATTGTGGCAGAGCAGTGGCAGGTGGCTCACCAGGCACAGATATTAAGATGAAAAAACAGGAAACATTTCATTTGGATTCAGGAAGTTTTACCATTTTAACCCGTCTGTCACTATACTTTAAAATGATTATATTGTATCATCCAAAGTACTGTTAGATGAAGCTCCTAAAAGATGACAGAGGATTATTGTTTTGCTCTTCCTAGTGTCTACCAACCCTGAGGTTAACTCCTTCTTGTATAGAGAAGTTCAGCTGATTGATAACTATTAATGGTACTATAATAATCAGTCAAACTAAAAATGACTTGATCCATATTATTGTGGATCAAAAAGCAAACAGAAGACACGTTTTTTGTGATAGTTGCTTGATACTTGGACTATAGACAACTAACCCCAACAATAAATGATGTGAAATAACACTAAAGAGAAAAACTAAATAGAATAAGACAACTTTAAGAAGATTATATGTTTTACCATGTCCCTTTGGTTATGAATGAACCTCCCTACAATGTATACAGAGTTAACGTTTGCTTTGTAGACCCGAGGAAGATTCTTGGCAGATCAAATTGTTGCCTGTTGTTTGTTAGTCTAAAACAGTGGAGGATCTTTTCTTCATTATTTGTCTATAAATCAAACATATCTTTAAACTTTAATTATAATCTACAGTAAATTGTACGTATAAAGGCACAGTTTGTTTGTCTAACCTCATAGATTAGAAGGTACTTGAATGCACAGTTGAGGGGTTCAAGTTACAGATAGAAAATTGGGATTTTATGTGTTTTGTAATATAGGCAGGTTTTACATCTTTTAGTACATACATTTAACATTCCTGATGTAATTGAATCAGTTCAACAAGTTGTTTCCTTTGATGTTTGGCCCCAGATTTAGATAAAGCTAACAGCCTTTCTTGTATTCCTTCAGTAAATGACACAGTTTTAGTAACTTTCATAGTGCATGATCCTCTACAATTTTATCGTTCACATTTGCTGTCTTTATAGTTTTAGGGTGTGAGCATGATTTAAACCTTCAGACAGACGCTACCTCAAACATAACATCATTTCTATTTGCTACAAAAAGCTTGGGGGGAAGTGGTTGCCCTCAGATGTGATATAAAAGGTTTCCCTTTGTTACGTTGGGCCATGAAGAGTCTAGCTCTTTAACCTATCTGTCTACTCTGGTCGACTGAGTGGTAGTTATATGAGAGCTTATAATCATTTCTCCCTGTCTGGAGTCGGTTTACGGCCACTCCAACTTCTTTTTTCTTCAGTCCTTGTGGCAGCTGAACTCTAGTTGACATGGCGGGCTGCCAGCAGGCCAGCCGAGCTCCAAGGCTCATCACAGCCTGTTAGCATTTCATTAGCACGTGCCCCTGCCCCTCCCCTGCCTGGGCACTGGCAGAGGAGACAATGCTCAGTATACATGTGCCAACTGGGCCCATTGTGACCGCACACATCCCAGCCAGCACAGTCCAGTTTCTTAATGGGGACAAGAGGGTTCATCCTGTTTCTGTGTCACATCATTTTGTAGCTTTAATTGTGTGAATATACAAATTCTTGATTGCATTGATTGTATATTTCCTGTCTGATGTCTCCGTTTGTGCTCACAGTCCAACAGGCAGCCGGTCAAACTCAACCTGCTCACCTGCCAGGTGAAGCCGAGCACTGAGGACAGGAAGTGTTTTGATCTCATTTCTCGTAAGTTTTACACACGCATGCACACATTTGGTTATATGCATGTTGGTATGAGACAGTTTGGAGATTCCTGCCTCTTAAAAACATCAAGCAACATGTGGAAGAACTACGTGGTTATTTTTATACTGCTTGTCCAACAGGTATCAAACAGACGGGCGATGCATTTGAATAGTTTACTGTCTCAGTGGCTTTTACTATTATAACATGCAAGATAAAACATTTGCTTACTTAACGCCTTTGTCTCTGTATTCCACAGATAACCGGACATATCATTTCCAGGCTGAAGATGAGCAAGAGTTTGTCATGTGAGTACTTTTGTAAATACAAAAAAAATAAATACATCATGTTGTTCTGCTTGGTTTTTACTTTAACGCTAAAAATCCAGAGAACGAGTTAGATATTTGTGTGTGACCTAAAGGTTTTTATTAATGGCCGGTTAGTTAGCGGCTGCTCTTTCAATGCCGTTGTCACTCTTGCATACAATAAGTGCTTTTGCTTTGTGAGGCGCAGAAAGAGTTTTGTGTGAGTGGGTGGTACTGAGGATAGCAGTGAGATTTGTGGTCACCAGTAATTCAGGTCATTGTAACCTCACACTGTTGTTTCCCATGAAGTCACACACATGCATGTCCGTAGGCAGGCGCCCACACACACATTTAACAAACGTTTAATTAAATAATCCTTAAGTTTCCTGTCAACTTTTAATAGTTGTGCTAAATTTTCAGCCATGATTCTTCACTCTTGTGACCAGCAACATATAAAAAGGACAATACAAAATGATTTTATTTTCAAATAACGCCATCAGGGATGTAACTCATGAGTTTAACTATAGAGTCCTTTTTTATTTCTGAGGTAGGGTATAAACTGTGTAAAACAGCATATATTTCCTTATTTTCCTTCAGTAAAAGTGAAACTGAAGCTTTCACTCTTTGATAGCACAATTCATTTGTCAGCTCACCGATTTGAGTCTTCACTCATTGATATCACGATTTAACTGTCAGGTGATACATCTTTACATTCCTAAATGCCATTAATTAACAGAAACTGTGGGAGTCTGGAGGTCTGGGCCAGCCACGCATTGGGCTGTAGGCCTTAAAGCTTCCCATTGTAACTAAACTAAGACACAAAGAACTGAAAACTGGACTACCAGACCTCCGCCCTCAAAGAGTAGAACACAAAGGAGCAAACAGAAGCTAACCGATGCTTTGTCTGAGCGAGAGAGCTCCGGCTTCTCCAGCCTCCCTTAAATATGGGTGCAGGGCCGCCAGTCAGCCCCAATGAGGAGCACCTGATAGAGTAAGGAGAGACAGCAGGGAGGAAAAACACAATGCGGCATGTAGCAGTAAAGAAACAATAACTAATGCATAATAATGTTTGCGATGACTGTAGATGAAAAGGTGGTTGGCTAACCAAACGACTGGCTTAGTTAGCTAGCTTGTTGTCCCAATGCAGTTAGCAAAATAGCTAATCAGGTGGCTAATATCTGTGTTTACTTTTTTAACATTATTTATGTCAAATTTAAGTTTATTTGTAAATCTGTTTTGTCCACTATGATGTTTTGCCTGAAGACCAAAATGAAATGAATTGTGGAGATTTTCCCATTGTTGAAACAATATCAGATGCAGAGGACTTTCCCATGTTAAATATATGCAGGAGGTAAAATAAGAGGTGTTATCTGACTTTTTCTACATTAAATGTTAATTAAGGGCAATGATAATTAAAATATCAAACAAATATTGCCATTCCCTTCTTTCATAGCCGGATGAACTGAAATTAAACCCTCAGAAACACACGGAAACATACCAAAAACTGATTCTTCTTGAGCTTTGTGCAGACACAGAAACATTCTCGAAACACACTTTTATTTGTGGCCCTGGGCTTGCGTGTTCTCACTCCGATGCCTCGCTGTGGTTCAGTGCTGCTCGAACACTCTGTACCTCCATGTACATGGCGTCCTTTGGGATCAAGCTTGCTGCTCCTCACTGCCGCTTCTGTCACGCTCTTCAAACTGCAGCAGCGTCTTCATGGGATTTTCCATGAAATATTTAGTGTTCCATAGGGTTCCTGCTTTGTGCAATCACGCTCCCCCTCAATTAGGCAGGTAGCATATTATAATGGATAATATAAAGTAAACACACACACAAAAAAACGCTTTGGCTCAGCATCTGTGCACCTACGCATCTGTGGATTAAAATATCTTCTTTTTTTCACACATACAGATAAACATAAACAGATCTCACATCGGTTTATGTGCCTACTCCCTGTCTGGCCACTGCCTTTGCATACAGGGTTGAGTGACAATGACAGAGGAAGTGCTGACGTCAGCCTCATAAAGCCCAGCTTGTTAGTGTGTGTGTTAGAGAACTGCAGGAGGCCATGTTTGAAAGGCAGCTACAGTGTTTCCTGTGTGATTCTTAATGACCGCAGTGAAGCATCTGTTTTACCTTCTTCAAAGTGAACCTGCTAGCACAAAAAGAGGGAATAGATATAAGACGAGTTTAAGTAGTGCTATTGTTATCGGTAGTTATAGGAAGAATGTTTAGAGAATCTTTTGCGGTTTAAGTTTATTGCCTCACAAGATTTGTGTGTAAAGAAGAATGCATGTCTCTTGGGACCAGTAATACAGAGGATGGAAATCAACATCTTTCATAGCTGTAATCTAAATTTTTATGTGATTTATTTCTCATTTTTCTAGAGCAGTAATTATTACTCGATTGCCAGAAAGATAACTGGCAAATATTTATACAACTGATTCATTGTTTGAGTCATTTTACTGGAAAAAGGAGGAGGATTTTTCTCCGTTTTATATGTTTGTAAACTGAATATCTTTGTCTTGAGCTGTGAGCTTTAAGAAATACAAAATACAATATTTGTGATGGTCACCTGTCACAATTACCTGATTTAGGAAAATAATCATCATATTAGGACAGTTACAGCTATAGATTTTTTGTTACTTTATATCTAGTTGTGTTTTCATGTTGTTGTCAACTGACCTAATCCTGTTACACGAACACGATGTGTTCCCCTCATACAGTTGGATTTCGGTGCTGACCAACAGTAAGGAGGAGGCTTTGAACATGGCGTTTCGCGGTGAGCAGAGCAGCGGAGGTGAGGACGGTTTAGAGGACCTGACTAAAGCCATCATAGAAGACGTGCTGCGCATGCCAGGCAACGAAGTCTGCTGCGACTGCGGAGCTGCAGGTGTGTACTGCTGCTGTTTGTCTGTATATATATCCCCCTTCCTGTTTTGTGCTTAGTCAACCTTCACCTTGTTACATGAAAAGACGAACACCTTCACTTCAGCGTTTTCTGATTTAAACTGCGGACAAATGTTTTATTTAAAGCCACACTTCAATTTTGATTCCTTTGCAATGTCACAGCCCTGAACTCGGTGTCCTTCATTTATATGCTAACTGAACAAGCTGCACTGCAAATACCCGCTTTAAGAAACAAGTGTGTGTGTAAGTGTGTGTGCGGGAACGTTGTTAGCATTCAGGACACAACCCCATCCTGATCCTCCCCCGCATTAGGAAGCAAAGACTCAGCACTCAGGAGTGGCGTAGACATTTAGGCCCTCTGACACACAGATGTGGTATATATATGCATATACACACACACACACACACACACACACACACACTCTCCGCTGTCAACACAAGCGCACACCCAGCTCACCGAATGACGGGAGGACTTTATGCTCTGAGGGGGGGAGAAAAAAAAACATTTCTACGCTTTGAGAAACAACATCATTACATCACGTTGTTACATAAGTCACACACGCTCCGTCGACCCCTGCAATCTGCAGAGAGGGGAGGTCATTTGTCATGTCTTTACTCTTGTTGCTGCGTCCGCTCGTGTACACCGTTTCAGTAGTAACTCATGTTCCAGATGTGGGTTTAAGCTCTGTTTCCTCTTCGATTCCTGTTGCTTTTCTTTTTAAATCACAATTAATTTTAGGCTTTGCTCTGACAGGATTTCCTTCCCCGAAACGCATAAAATTAACTTCATGGTTAAAAGGTCATTGTAATGACTTTTGAAGGTCACCACTTTGTTCCCTCTGGTCTGAGTAGTAAGATGACTCCATCTCATTTGATATTCTCCCTGGATCTCCCTCTATCATACACAGCTTTGCAGCTTTAGCATTAAGCAGCTATAGAGGTCACCGTGCATCAACTCATCATGCTTAACATGCACTCTGTGACCTATCGCCAGCTCGCATCTGTTCTATGTTGTGAAAATATGTGCACGTGCCTGCCTCCTGCCTGTTTTTTCTGTGTATGACTCATTGGTTTTTGGGCTCCCCTCCGACGTTTCCACCGGCGTCGGCCTGGTGTTCACCAGTCACTGACTGGCAGCAACAGTGTTCAACAACGCCCGCCTAAATCTCCCAGATTGCATCAGATACCGGTCAATCCCTGCGGTTTAGAGGGCGCCGCGTGAAGTCGTCACATGGCTCTGCTACATCTCAGAGTACTTGTGCCGATACGCAATGGGCTCTATCTCCCTCCTGCAGGATGATGTGACTGTGACGACAGTCCTCTAGTGGTCCGTCTATTGATGATTTATAAATAAAATTAATAAATAATAAATAAAGCTTTGGTTTAAGCATCCACTTAATTTAAGAGCAAGGTTTATATGTAAAAATACATATCTCATCAGCTGAAATCATGTTTTTATCAGGTAAAATCGTCATGACAAAATCCAATTTTTGACCTGACGAAGATCCGACTGATAGAAATGTTGTCTATATAGTAAATCTGTGGTTTTGATTCAGTGTGAGGAAGTTACTCTTATTCATCAACATGAAGCTGCAGCAGAAATAAAATGCCACAAGCCTTTATAGAGGCCATAGATCTGTCCCACTCGCTTTAATGAAAGTCTGCTGTGGGATGTGTATACTACTGTATATCACAGAAAACTTATGCTTATAATTGCATTTCTGGGCCTGTTTTGTTTCGTGGTTAGTTTGTTTTTTTGGATCAACACAGAAAACTGACCAAATTTAGAATGTGTTGCGTCTCGTTAAGGCAGTCAGAAGCACAGTTTCGTAGCAGAAAACGCATAGAAATCTATCTTTAAACGTCGATGTCAGTGGTTTTTAGAGTTAGTCCTCTCAGAAGAGTAATAGCTTCTGTCAAGGCTCACCATTTTTCTCCCAAGTTCTACAATCATACGAGAATAAATCAAATGTAGGGACGCTGAGAAACCAATTTCTCTGCTGACAGCAGCCTTAAAGGACTAGAATACAATGCAGCCACACAACATGTATTTTCAGTAGAGGGCAGGACTTATGCTTTTTAGTGCTGGAAAATATTTTCCTTTTCTATTCTGAAATAGAATATAAGGGTAGTTGATACTTGACGGTAGTGACAGGGACAACATGTGTCTTTTTGTCCCAGTATTGGCTTAAATCTGAGGCATTGTATATCCATATTTTCTCATATTATCTTTATAGATCCTAAGTGGCTGTCTACCAACCTGGGGATCCTGACCTGCATCGAGTGCTCCGGCATCCACAGAGAGATGGGGGTCCACATCTCCCGCATCCAGTCTATGGAGCTTGACAAGCTAGGAACCTCAGAACTCTTGGTGAGTCAGAGAAAACGGTCTACCGAGTGAATAAATAGTGTTTTTTGAGACAGCAGTGCACGCCTTTTACTATTTTCGTCTCTGCTTATTAGATATAATATTAGAAATAATGAAAGAGTAGTGGAAACACAGGAGAGAGCAGAATTTGATCCCTGAAGCAGCAGAGATACATGATGCTGACTTTTTCTTCTTTCTCCCCCAGCTGGCCAAGAATGTAGGGAACAGTAGTTTTAATGAGATCATGGAGGGAAACCTTTCTTCCCCTTCACCAAAGCCCACTCCATCCAGTGACATGTGAGTACTCTGAGCAAAAAAAAAAAAAAAGTTGCCTGAAAACCCAGATTTGTTTCGTGTCCAAAACAGCTGACTGAATTCCTCCTCTTCGGCACAGGACGGTGAGGAAGGAGTTCATCACCGCTAAATATGTGGACCACAAGTATGCGAGGAAGACGTGCACTTCTGCGGCAGCTAAAATGATCGAGCTGTTTGAGGCGGTTCAGTCCAGGGATCTGCTGTCCCTCATCCAGGTTTATGCAGAGGGGGTGGAACTAATGGAGCCGCTCCCAGAGGTGGGGCCGGTGAGTCCTCTAAGTCAATGGATACATGCACAATGGTCAGGTTCACCCATATCAATAAGCATGTTCACTCACTTGCCTCTAGTAGTATCGAGTCATGAAGATAATTTTAGTTTTATTTGTTTATTTATCGTCTCTGAGATTTCTGCCTTCACCCCAACTCAAAAACAAACTTGTTTGCAAACATTTGCTTATTTACACATCAAGCTTTTACAGAGCAACATTAGCATTTATTGGGAGCTGTCAGTGGTGTAGTGGTGCCTGGAGAAGTGGGTATACTTATTTATTTTATTTAAAGCAGCTTGTCCAGCACAGCATAAACGCCCTGTGTTATAAACGGTGACATGTGAGACAGGCATATTTAGCTCACCCAAAAATGGCTGCTTGACTTCAGGGAGTAAGGATCGTTGTGACATTAACAGAAGAAGAGGTGCAGATTTTGCAATCAGTACTGACCCACAGACGCTTGGTGATACAATCACATAATTATACATTTTGAGTGAAGTATTTCTTAACTCCATCCACTCATCAAAGTTGGACGACTACGTCATTCCTTTAGCATGCTGGGAAACAAATTCAGCTCACAGAAAACTACTAAATGATGTCCATCAGAGGGGATTTAAAAGTGGGTACACCCAATGCTGACTGAAAAATAACTGGGTATAGTTGAGTATAGTCTGCACTACATACTGGGAGTCATGTTTCTGTCCATCTGGTGAATGTAATTCTATTATTCACTCTCTTAAGCTCTCCACCAACTCCTGAAGAAAATATCTGGCTCTTTAGCTGCTAAATGCTCCATTATGTTCACTACTATGGTCTCTACCTGTGTCTGCCTGCTGTTTGGTACTGAATAGGCAGTGTACAGTAGGTTTTTAGAGCTTTTTCCTTGAAAATAGTTGCCTGTTGTAGCTGGAAATGATGAGAGCGGTTATAGTAAACCAAAACAGTAAAGTGGTGGTTGTACCGATAAACAATGAGCTGAAACTCATTTTAAAAGCTGAGAAGAGCTGCAGATTCAGGTGATAATTCACTTCAAGCGATCCCTTTCACATTATCATATTGTTTTCCATTATCATTTGAGACATAGGTATTCTAAGACAGTTCACTGGAACTACTTTCTGGAAGAAGTAGACCAAGTGAAAACGGTTGACACTGAGGTTTGTGGATCAACTTTCACTGCTGCAGCTTCTTAAATATGAATATTCTCTGTTTATTTGTGATAGGAAACAGAATATAATAGAAGTGGCACCATGTTTCAGAGAAGGAAAGCCTAAAATCTACATAAAGCCAAACATTGAGATGCACATCATGTAAAACTGACATTCTAGATCAGTATGTTACCTGTAATCCTCGTCCCATAATCTCCTCATACCTGGCTGCTGTATATTTCTAACACACACCATGATCTCATATTTTAGACTTATAGACCGTAGAAATATCCCTCTCTCGGAGCTCTGCACAGTTTACTGCAGTGGTTCATCCTCATGTGAGGTTTACTCCCAGCAGGAGAGCCGATGCTGACACATTTCTACCAGTTGGTGAATTATTTGGCGGTTCGAAATGGGTGTAACAGTTGGAAAATTTTGAGTCATGCGGATAACTTCACCAGCAGGTGGTGATATCCAGCAGCCTCCACCACATCGTTGGGCATCATCTCATTCTGAGTTCATATTTACTCAGATGACGACATCTGTGGCAGCGTCGTTCTCTGTCTCTGCTTTTTATTCTGTGGTTCAGCCTGTTTTCTCTTTGTTTCCGCAGCCCTTTTGCGCCGCTGCTTTAAGGCATGAAAGAAAGTTAAATAACAAGCGGTTGATGGTGAGGATACTGTGCCGTAAACAACATCCGTGATCAGACCTAATCTGACATAAATGGGTCAACGCAGGCATGGTGGTTCTGTAATGAAAAATTAAGTGTACAATGCAGGCAGCAGAATAAAAGAGGATATCAGTTGGTGACAGAGGGAGCCGCTGCTGCTGCTGCTGCTGCTGCTGCTGCTGTCTGTGCTATGAAGTCTGACTCACCGATATCTGATCTGCTGGTGTCAGTACATCTGAATGGCTGCAGACAGCACAGTGACATCCCCCCCCACCCCTCCCCCCCAAACCCAGGCAACACGACAGGGATGCGTGACTAAATACAGCCCTTACTCTACCCTATAGATGCCAAGATGCCACCAAAATATACAGCACATACATTCCTCACTACCATATATTTCATCTTTTATCTCCACTGCGTCTAACAAAATGACGTCTAGTTTTAGTTTTATGGAGACAAATTAAATTTCTGCAAGACTTCTGCAAGAAATGTACAAATCTCTGCTTCATGCCTGCTGAAATATTATTTTTAGGAGCCATTTTGTTTACTGCGGCTTGTTTAAATGCTGAAAGAGACACGGAGAGGGAGAGAATACAGAATGGATGCTGCCCAAGATTGTCTCACTGTGTGTCGTTGCTGTGTTTGATGGCCCCCTGCAGGAAGCCGGAGAGACCGCACTGCACTACTCTGTACGGACTGCTGACCAGACCTCACTGCACTTAGTGGACTTCCTTGTGCAGAACAGGTAAATTTTTTTAAAGAGTTTTTTTCACCAAAAAAAAAGCTAGAATAAGATTACATAAGAATGTGGATTTGCTTTGGCTTTTCACGCGAGTTAAACTGTTTTATTTTCTTCAAACGCACCAGTGGTTTAGAGGAAAATTATGCAGCAAACAAGAGTTTTGTGGAAACACTCGGTATTAGATCTGATCTGATCTGTGTGTGTCTGCTTTCAGTCTTTCTTGTTCTGTGCTTTCAGTCTGTAGCAGAGCAGTGGAAGTGCAGGGGAAAGCTTAGCGCTGCACAGCTCAGCTCACATTCCCACAAGGCAAACAGAAATGGGTCAAGCACTTTTCTTCTCTGCCTTAATTTATTCCTCTCTTTTCAATTGTTTACCCACCACTGCTCCAACTGCACACAGCCTCCACAGAAACAAGTGGGACCGTCTCATTAATTAATAGCTGTGCCCATACTGTGTCATGCTTAGCCCTCATTATTTAAAATATTTCTCTTGCCCTTTCTGGGAGCTTCTAGAGATCTAAAAAAACAGAATTATTTATCTGCTGTAACATCATAGCGTGAAGTTGGTTTTGCACAGCTAATAGTCGATCTCATTACCCACATCCACATTTTGCTGTTCTTGTGACTGATTTAATTGTTCACTTCAGACTTTTCAAGGGAAAACACATTTCTGGATTTAAAAAAAAAAAAAAACCTTTTCCAGCTTTTTTCCTCTGATGCTAAATCACAAAACCCTGGGTAATAACACATTAACTAGAAGCTACAGGACTGTGGAAAACACCCTCAGGCTCGTGACCTATGTCCTGACTACGTGTGTGTTCGCGTGTGTGTGTTTTCCCCAGCGGTAACCTGGATAAGCAGACGGAGTGGGGGAACACTGCCCTGCATTACTGCTGCATGTACGAGAAGCCCGAGTGCCTCAAGTTACTCCTGAGGGGCAAGCCGGCTACTGATATCCGTGAGTCACATGTCGAGGTTCATCGCCTCGTTAAAGTCATCTGTACGCACGTATCAGACTCTAACTGTTGATTATCCGTCCGCTCCCTTCAGCCAATCAGAACGGAGAGACGGCGCTGGATGTTGCCAGGCGACTGAGGAACATTCAGTGTGAGGAGGCAGTAAGTACGGGAGAGCTCAGCTGGTGATCTTGGACATCAGAGTGGATTTTAATGGGCTAAAAAAAAATCACTAAATCATCCAAAAATACATACAGCTTCTCGGACAAATGAACAAAAGGTTGCGGAGTATACAAAGTGGTTGATTAAACGTGGTGACCAGTTATGAGGCAGATTATTCAGAACACTAGATGGCAGTCAAAGGTCTGTCTCCAGCTTCAGGCAACAGTGACAGCAGAGTGGAAGTAATTGTTGATGTATGTTCATTATTAACGCTAGTGTGAACCTGCAGACAAAAAAAAGCCATTTTAAATGCAGTGTAAAATCTTTAATAAATAAATAAATTAGCACATTTAATTGTCCCCTTCCTCCCCCCCATTTATTGTTGATTGTGTCTTGTTTAAACAGTTGTGTTTCTGAATATATTTGCAGCCAATTTTGTAGCTATTTTTCATGTGAATAAGTGATTAATGTGTGTGTGTGTGTGTGTGTCAGCTTGTGCAGGCCGCAGAGGGGAAGTTCAACCCTCACATCCATGTGGAGTACGAGTGGAGCCTCAGACTGGAGGAGATGGACGAGAGCGATGACGACCTCGATGATAAGGTTCGAACAGAGCATCGCGTTCACTTGTTTGAGCTTGAATTCGGTCAGGTCGTCAACAGCAACCCCCGTACGGTGCTGTCGAAACTATTAATGTTTATATGAGTCAGTCTGATGGCCGAGCAGCTTTCCCCTAGAGCTCAGTGTTTGGATTCTGCAACACTTTAACAACAGCTGCACCTACATCTTTTTGTGTTATTATAAATAAAAACAACAAACATTATTATTACAATCATCCTGATGGCCGTTATTATGTTGCTGTTGTTGACTGTCTGGCCTGAATTTGGCAACTGCTTGTGACTCAGTTAGTAGAGCCTTTTTGGTTTGCTTGCTTGTTTGTTTTGCTTTCATGGAAACAATAAAGAATCATATGGCAACCGGGCAAAGGAAGATGACATGTTAAGATGCTTTAAAGCATCAACAAGTCTGTAATTTACACCGAATTAAAGAGCAAAATGCTGCTTTTAATATTGACAACTTTCCACTGGCCCGACCATCATACGTGTGTAGACATGCCAATTTATTCTACTTACAGTAGTGTCAATACACCGTAGTGCAAAGCAACCTTGAAAATGGTGCATTAAGTAGTAAATGAGGCAAGACGAAGGAAAATGGGTTCACTCAAAAATAAACACTTTGTAAGTCAAAAGTTGTCTGACGTGAAGGTTAAAAATATGTTTTTGGGCATTGTTTTACATACATTTTAATGACCATATTTGAATGTGAAGCAGGTCTCAGTTAGATGCTTAAAAAGTCATTGAAATACAGTTGAAACAATGGTTTTATTTAAACTAGAAATCTTCTGGACTGCAATTCACCAAATCTGTGCTTGCTGAGTTTTTAACGTCACACACAGTGCACAAGCATCCAAGGGAGGATTTAGTTTTAACACTTTTAAGGTTGAGCAGATAGATTTTCAACAATTTAAAGGAATAGTTCAACATTTTTAGATGCTTTCTGGCTGAGACTTGGATGAGAAGATTGATACCACTCATATGAAGCTACAGCCAGTTAGCTTAGTGGGAAAATGGGGAAAACAGCTAGCATGGCTCTGTCCAAAGGTAATCGGCCTACCAGCACCTCTAAAGCTCAATAATTATCACATTACATCTCTTTTGTTTAATCTGTTTAAAGTGAAAATGTTTAACTATTCCTCTAAAGTATCTATGTGTTAGGTTATTATGCCAGACTTATTCCTAGCCTGATGTCTTCTGTCCCTCCGCAGCCCAGTCCCATCAAGAAGGACCGCTCCCCGAGGCCTCAAAGAAGGACCGCTCCCCGAGGCCTCAAAGCTTCTGCCACTCCTCCAGCCTCTCCCCCCACGACAAGCTCTCCCTCCCGGGCTTCATCAGCCAGAGGGACAAACAGCAGCGCCTGTCCTACAGCGCCTTCACCAACCAGATGTACAGCGCCTCTACCGACCTCACCTCCTCTCCCGTGGCCGACGGGCCGCCGCTGCCGCCTAGGAACCAGGGCAAAGGTCAGACCTGCCTGCTCCAAGTGCCTTTGAGCCTGCACCTGTTTTCAGACAACATCCACAGTCTGTAGCTAATAACAGTGACAGTGCCTGTAATCAGCCTGTAATGCAAATGGTCTGAAGGTTGTCTGTATGCTTTACTGTGTCTGATTACTGCAGAAGGAAGATAGTCTTTTGAATGTGTACTTTATGTCTGTTAATATTTGATTATATCCAGGACAGGATTAGGAGCAGAGGAATGCTTCGTAATCACTTTGGTGGAAAGTTTCTTCTTTTCGCTGTCCCGTCAGTCCACACACACACACACATTTATACACCCTGCAGTGGAATGCAATTTGTCAACAGATCAGAGGGCGGGATGCAGGTGTCATTAAGATTGCTTACACAGTAAACCTTCAGGAAAACATGGCTGCAGGAGAGGGAAGGGCAGCGATGGGTTAGTTAGGCGTGTGAAAGGGAAGCTAGATACACACTTCATCATTAGCCTCGACACAATATACACACGTTATACTGTGGGTGTGCTGTCTCTGCAGTATTAGAATTAAAAATAACACTCCTCCCTTTGTGTAGGGGTTTAAAACACATTGCAAAAAGCTTACACTGCAAAACATCCATCTCAACAAGTCATTTTAATCCATTATTGAGCATTTAAATCTTATTTTTCTCAAAACAAGAGGTGTGAAATTTCGCCTGTTTCCAGTGCAAATCAACAATTTTTAATTGACCCCCTTTTCTAAGGCCTCAGTTGGCGTCGCTACGCCTGTCGAGCTCGCACATGTGGCTTTCATTTCTGGCTGACAACCGTTGATTATGTTGGCTGAAATGACGACAGTCGCTAGCAGATTTTGTCAGCTGTTCAGGTTAGGGCTAGCTAATTAACACTAACTCTGTCCTCAACAGTTCAGTGTCTTAAGCTGACGCGCTTTAAAATGAGAACCCTGTAAAAT